AGCTCTGCAGAGAAGGACCTGGGAGTGCTGGTGGACAACAAGTTAAACATGAGGCAGCAGTGTGCCCTGGTGGCCAAGAAGGCCAATGGTCTCCTGGGGTGCATGAGGAAGAGTGTTGCCAGCAGGTGGAGGGAGGTGATCCTCCCCCTCTACTCAGCCCTGGTGAGGCCACATCTGCAGTACTGTGTCCAATTCTGGGCTCCCCAGTACAAGAGAGACATGGAGCTCCTGGAGAGAGTCCAGCAGAGGGCTACAAAGATGATGAGGGGACTGGAGCATCTCTCCTCTGAAGAAAGGCTGCGAGAGCTGGGCCTGTTCAGCCTGGAGAAGAGAAGACTGAGAGGGGATCTCATCAATGTCTACAAGTATCTGAAAGGGGGGTGGTGTCGAGAGGATGGGGCCAAACTCTTCTCCGTGGTGCCCAGCGACAGGACAAGAGGCAACGGGCACAAACTGAACCACAGGCAGTTCCATCTGAACACAAAGAAAAACTTCTCTCTCTACTGTGAGGGTGACAGAGCACTGAAACAGGTTGCCCAGAGAGGCGGTGGAGTCTCCTTCGCTGGAGATATTCAAAACCCGCCTGGACGCGATCCTGGGAAACATGCTCTAGAGGACCCTGCTGGAGCAGGGGGGTTGGACTAAATGATCTCCAGAGGTCCCTTCCAACCTCAACCATTCTGTGATTCTGTCATAATTCAAGTACAATATTTTCATACTCCTAACCAATGCAGATACCATTAATAACGTCTTAAATACCCAAGATAAATAGTGAACACCTTCTCATTTATTAAAATACTTCACATCAACCTCCAAGGTCTTTATACTATTTTTTATAGACCACATCAAGTTCAGTGCCACAGATGTGGGCCTAAAAGATATTGCAGATATACGGTTGCCTTTAATTCCCATTCACAATAAATTACCTCATTAAGCACTTCCATGATTTCTTTGTCATAGCATTCCATAAGTACCTCACAGGATTCCAAGTGTCTTGCATGCATCATAGCAGGTACACAGTCCCGTAGTGCACTAAACATATACTGAAAAAAAAAAAACCTATTATGCTTAACCAACAGACTGACAGACATGTCAACAGCATCTCAAATAGTCAGTGTTCAAAGTTAACTTAAATAAATCAAAACCTCTTGTCTTCCCACTTTTATTAAAAATGGGCTTCATAAGTTCAACTAAAGTTTCCTCATCTTTAACACACTAATCTGAGGTATTCAGTTGCCACCAATTCACTAATTTAAAGGTCATAATCATTAGCAATTTCACCTTAAGCAATTTCCACTGATAGTATTTTAATACCATGATTAATCACGGCATGCACAACACTGGATCAGATAATTGATTTTATCAGGATAAGCACGCCAAAGCATGATTTGTTTCTGCAGCAAATACCTGTTGCTTCAAAGCAGGGGGGAAGCGGTAAGGAAAGAAGAACAGGACAACTATCCCACATAGCATTACTGAGCACAGTGGTAAGTGCTTTAAAAATAGCTAAACCATATCGTGGAACAAAAAGTTTAGGTTGAAGTTTAGCAAAAGGTGTCCATTTCAAATTAGAACTAACAAATAAGAGAGGAACAAGCAGAGAGCGAGAAACACAGAGTTAACAATAGGAACTTGAGACTTTGAGAGAAATCTAAAAGATAAACTTTTGTTAGACTTAGAAGAAAGATTGCATTTCTATCCTCCAGATTGCCCAAATTTGTGCCTCAGTAGTTATTCTTGTCTGAGCATTTTCTTTTTGATTGAAGGTTTTTCTTGAAGAGTTTCAGTCCAGGCTCTTTCCTCCTCCTTCTATCCCACCCATTACAGTGGCTTGTTAAACTAAGTGTTACTTACATGCAGTCTAGCAGAATCAACTGCATTTTCATACACGTCATCTAAATAGATTGGAAAGACTGCTCGATGCCAGTATAAGAAACAACAGTCACATTGTGCCCGAACTCTAGAATACAAGATCACTAATTAGACACAGAATCAGAGGAAGTCATTCTTCTAACATAACGACATACATTTTACTGGGTTTAAACTAAAGACCACTGCTTTTCAAGTCCAAGTGCTACATGGTTACCCTAACGTTCCAGATGCTTTGTCCTTCAAAAGAAACCCTAAGTTCCACTAGCCTATTTACAGATAAACAGTACACCTGCTTTAGAAACGTTTACTCAGCCTCTGAAAGAATTAAACCTTACACTACAGCAATATCCTAAGTAATTCCCTTGATCTCATGCAATAATATTGATCTAACATAACTTCAGTAGCCTAAGTCACACCTATGTTCTAGCTTTCTTCTATAGTCACAGAGAAAAAGACATCTCCTGATCACAGCTCATTTGCAGCACTTATCCCAGGATGGGCTGAGTCATCTGCTGAAGGTGTTTGCCTCTCTTCATGGACTATGCAGCAATCCCAGGCATTCACCTGGCTTTCAGATGGCTAGCATTATACAGACTGAGTGCCACTTAGAACTACAGCAATGGTAAAACTTGGTGTCGCATGTGAACTAACAGCCTCATCTCCCAAACTGACTGGTATTATCTCATAATTAATCTTATAATTAACAGAAGCAATATAATGCCACAAGTAGCTGTAGCAGATTCAAGTTTTAAGAACTGACCGCTTAACTTTGCTTCATGGCCAAAGTAACAGTAGTTTTATAAGCTACCATGTTCTATGCATAAATGCACTTACAGTAATATTTACGAGTAAGTGTGATGACACCACACAGGTGATTAGAGTTTGGGTTAAAAGCAAGACTTCAGTTTAGCAGAGAACCTAGTCATCTACACGTCCCAGGAAGTGACAGAATTTAAAAACAGTAAGAAAAGTACGTTACTTAAATGCTAGCAGTCAAGTAAAATGTGACTTCTGTTTCCTAATCAAAGATTAGTAAGCTACCAGCTTAGTTCTAGAATTCTTTGTTTCATTTTCTGTCCATCCTTGGTCTATAATACATGCAAAAAATCACCACCTGCATGCAGCTGCAAGATCCTGCAATTTGCATCATCAAGATCCAGCTCCCCCAATTACACTACACTGCCTCCTATATGTCACATGCTACTGCTTACCGCTCTACAAGTTCACTGATCAAGTCTAGCTTTTTCAGAACTAACTGAAGGGGAAGAAGTTCTTCATCTTTAAAAGTTTTCTGTGCAAAAGAAAAAAAGGACAAGATATTCAATAAGATGTTATATGTAAACAAGCAAAGGTCTGGAACAATCCTGATGGCACTTACCATCTGTGTTCCCACACTCAACGCAAGGGAAATAATTAGTCGCCTCTGTTTTGTACTTGGTCCATTGAGGGTATTCTCAGCCAAGACCAAAGCAGAGAGAACATCCAGGCGTTGCTCGCTGTACTTTTTATCAGAAATGACTCTTTTCTTGATGATAGAAAGATACAGAAATTTAGAGAAAAGTTATCTAAGCCAAAAAGCAACAGCTTATCTCTTCCTTTCAAAATTTATGGACATACACAACATGGAGTATTTCTGTAAACCAGTTAGGTTTTGTGGACAGAGTTAACTGAACCTAGATTCACCTCCTCTGTCAATTCAGTGGTATTATTTATATATAAAGTTAAAACGTGTGCAATTCAACATCAACACAGATCAGGTCACAGAGTATAAAAAATTGTGCTAACTGCATGCGACTCCATGACAATTTTAATTCTATGGTACGTGCAACTATTTTTTAAAAAAAGTAGCTCCCTTTGTTGGTAATAAAATCCAGTTTATGGATGAATAGCTAGAAGATGTATAAACATGGTAATAAGAATGACAATTTGCAATTTCCTATGAATTCTAGCTTACAGGAAAGAACAAATGCAAAAACATTTACACGAACAAACAAAGGGAACTGGGTCCTCTGGCTAAGAAGTTCATCTCAAAGATGTATTTGTGAGTAGCACCATAATTCAGAAGAGGCACAGTATCACAAAAGAGTTAACAGAAGGAAATCCTTCTTCAGTTTTGAGAAAGCATGCTCAACATGAAAATCCTACTCTTAAATGATAAAGCTATGAAGCTACGCTAGATATATGCCTTAGAGCTTAAATCACTTAGAAATGTGATTAGCAAAGGACAAAGAACAGCAGATAACAAAAAAAGGTTAGTACTAATGAACTCCTCCATTTATCAGCGCTGCCTCTTACTTTCAAACTCAGTATACAAGTCTCAGCCTATTTCTAACCATTTAAAAATAATTTTGCATGTAATCTGAAAAGGCTAGAGTTATCTGAACTTATGTGATCTGTTCACATGAAAGCATGCAAAATTTCTTAGCAGCTTTGAAGTTTAGAACTCTTTCCGTTCCTGTCACTCCTGATGTACTGTATCTGCTTTTTAGAAGTAAAACATTTTTCTTGCTTATACTAGAAAACATGGAGATGCCAGATTCTTCAGGTGAGATTACAGCCAAATTTCTAACATATCAAATTCCCAAAAATGTCAATCTATTGTTAAATCTGTGATTTATTTCAGTGAACATAGTCAAAATAAAAAACAAAAAGGAAAATTCAACTGTTGCATTGATATCCTTGGCATACCTCCTTCATAGTTTAGGTACTGAATGTGTTGAAAGAACACCACTATCAGTAATACATCAGAGTATCTACACTAAAACCCTGCTTCTCATTTGCCCTAAACATAATTCAGAAATTCAAGACCTGATAAGAAAAACTGAGTAAATTGATCTTGTTCACAGAAAGATACAGTATATACTCATGATGGTGTGTTCCATCAAAAGCCCAGTTTTACCCCACTGCAAAAAATAATTCATTCATTCCCTCATTAGACTCCCATAAGCCATCATATATTAACCACTGCAATTTTGTCAAGTGGGCAAAGCCTTAGACCAATGACAGCTTACACCTATCTGCTTACACCTACAAAAAAAAGTTTCTGTTGCACATTTCTAAGAGATTTTAAACCATTTTTGAAAATCCACAGAAATAAAAACCCAAAAACCCAAGAGGAACACGACAAGAGATGCAGCAGTTGAGAAGAAAGGATCACTTCTTGATCGAAAAGAGATGATCATCATGTAGGCTGCACAGTTTCTAGGGCAAAGCTCTGACTTACTGAAAAGGTTATATATCTATCAATTACAATGGAGCAACACCACAGATTTTGCAAAATCAAGACAGTTACTTTCATTTAAAATAAAGAGTTTCTTAAACGCTACTTATAGGACTATTAATTACTAGGATTTGGGTTACATACCTTGGCTACAGAAATAGAGTGAAGAGCCTGATACTGCAGATGCTGCGTGATGTGTGTCACAGAATCTGCCACAACCATACTTCTGCGGTAAAACATGTGCTCTATTGCCTAAAGCGAATGCCAAAACACAACAGATCATGCTGTTACTGAAATCACTGCCTTTAGAGTTTCTTTTCACACTTGCTGACTCATCCACACTGCAAATATAGACTCTAGCTCCACTTTGTAACGTACCATTGCAGTTGCAGTTAACTCTCAGAACCTGAAAAAAGTCTAATCACTCAGGAGTATAAAAAGGTTTAGAGTGTATTGTAGGCTTTTTTTTTTTTAATTGATAATCCAGCTCTGTTGTACAGAACTTTAGAAAGCCACCATCAGAACAGAATACTTTCCTTTCAGGAAAAAAAAAAAAAAAAGGATGAATAGAAAATAAAATCTAAGGAAGCTGGTTAGAAAATCAGTTCTGGTCTCCCAAACCCTGTTCTTCTCTAACCAAATCCAGTCTTGAAGTAGAAGCCGTGTAAAAACATTTCCCTATTCAGTTTTTGTTATATGTGGTATTTGACTAGAGTTCTTTGTACAGGCCTATATGAAATAAACAGTTTGATCCAGTAACCTACCTTGAGAAGTTCCACAAGCCTGCACAGAGCTTTCACCGAGGTTTTGGTCATAGGTTTTTGCATTGACATGTAGAGATTCATTGTGGTCTTAATGATGGTGCTAAGACTATATGCATAAAGAAAACCCTAAAAATAAAATGAAGGGGTAGGAATATATGAATACTCTCACAATATGTCAATCAAATAAGTGCTGTCTGTTTTGTTGTGTATAGGATAGACAACTAACTTTTGCCTCTTCACAACAGAACCCCACCACTCTTCCACCTAATAAGCAAGCTCGGGATCTGCTATAAAGCTGAACGAGACCCTTCCGTTAGGCAGAAATTACGAGCTTGCCTAAGAGTCGCTAAGCCACCCAATCATTAACCTATCCTAGAGCTATATAAATTCATCATAAGTCAATGAATTAATCACACATTAGTCCTCAAAGGACTAATCATTTCAGACCTACTGTAAACCAAGAAAAAAAAATACAGCCTATCAAAAACACAAGCTAAACTTTACAGATTCCATGGAATCTATAAACTGACATTATTTACATAGTCCTACACTTTCTAAATAGAACTGTTCATCCCACAATAAAGAAAAGGAATAGTGTCTACAGTAACCTTTTTCAAAGTTTCCTAAGCTTTTAAAAGCAAATATTGACTACATACAGCAAAAGAAAAATATCATCCAAGCTATTTCAAAGGAGGTAGCTACAATAAAGAAAAAAAAAGAAACAGCAAACGGTCTATGAAACTGAATTTGTTACAGACAAAATTTACACAAGTCCATTACAAATAATTCAAATGTAAAAGCATAGATCCTAGTACACATATGTCTTTAGATGTTCAAGATCCAGGATCGCGTTTTTATCACACACCTATTCTCATCAGATCTCTGCCAGGAAAACATATCAAAACTAGCAAAAAATAAATAAATTCAGAAGTAAGATGCATCTTAGATTAAGAGTACATGCTGCTAGCAGACCAAAAGAAAACCAGCTGCCTCAGAATGAAGTTAGATTCTTGTGAAGTCCCATCACTAAGCAAAGCCCAATGAGACAACACAAACTTTTTACTGGAAAAAGGAACTATACTAAATAGAATTAAATTAGGCACTGGTTCAAGTACAACTTAAATACCTCATCACTCATTGAAAAGATCAAAAAATAAAAAAAAACCAAAAAATAAAAAACGAACATATTACTACAGAGGAAAAAGCTTTCCTGATTTCCTAAGTCAAGAGAAAGATTCAAAATTTTAGTAGTAGAATATTCAGTGAGATTCGCTTTCCCCACATGCTTTATGGAAACACCTTTTACAGAATTACTTAACTGAATCTACTGGGTATTTAAAATACAGAAGAATTCCCACATTGTAAAATAATATACGGATGACCACACAACTTCTGTGATTTGTTTTAATGTTCAACAGCTTGCACCAAAACATCAACTTCCTGTATCACTGTACAACTCCAGGCAGCACCACATTAAACAACTGCACACCTGAATGAAGACGTTGCAGCGGTTAGAAAGATCTTCAGCAAACTTATCCATTCGTTGCTCCTTCGACAAGATAGATTCCATTTTTGTCATCCACGAGCTCACAAAGACATAATATGACTGCATATCTCTGGAGAGGGAAACAAGTAAGAGTATGATTATTTTCTGTTCTCTTTCCAAAGCTTAAATCCTTCCAAACGCAGAAGCGCACGCGCGCACACACACACACACACACTATATTTTTAATATAAAATTTATAATTTTTATATAAAATTTTCATAAATAAAGTGTTCAGTCTCCAAAGTAAACACTCACTCCCTTCCCAGAAGGGAAAACTCATCATATACTCATTTAAATTTTGCTTCTCTCCAGGTAAGGATTAATCTGTTAATTGTATCTGTACGAGCATAACCCTAAAGACAAAATTAGAATTTGTATCTCTTATTCTTCCAAGAAAATAAACGGCCTTCTTAGCAATACATACGCTACACTTCTTTAAATTAAAACAGTAAATAAAGCTGCTAGAACATGCTTTTAAATACTAGATGAAAAAAACCTACATCAATTGCTAAATGTTTTTCACCAGAGTTTGAACTTTTTAAAATACATAATTCATCATTACATCAATGATAGACTGGACTATAAAACTGGTATTACATAATATGCTTCTCCAGAAGACAATCCGCTTTGATCGTTCTGGCTGTAATTAAATATTTAAATAGAATCAACCTTTAAAACTGCTATTTATTTCATGCTTCAGACCTGCGACACTACAACACTACTTATCGTAACAACTATATTAGGAACGTATTCAGATCATTAATGACATGCCAAAAGCTACACTTTAGAAAGCATATTTTTAAGGCAACAGCCCAATTCCCAAAAGGCAATTCAAAAACTTGTAAAAGACAAGAAAAACAATTACTGGCAGAATTCAAAATAATCTAGATTTCACTACAATGTCCTCAAAGCGTCTAAGAATATCCAAATCTTTTGCTCAACTTTTGCCAAATCTTAAAAGCTATAGGACAAGATTGTGCCACTGCCCAGGGCCAGAGGCAAAGCAGCTGAGGAATTGTGCTCCACCCAGGAGTAAAAGCCTGGGAAAGAATTTAGTCGGAGCTCCCGACTCTTTCTGGTTTACATCCTAGGTCCACAGGAAGAGGTGGATTGGTAAAGAAAACAGGGCAGGTTGTGAAAATAACCTGCAAGAGGACCGTATCGGTGGTGAATTATTATGCTCTTTTTCCAACTCAGTTCTGCCAGCTTGCATGCAAGGTTGGAAAACAGTCCAGGAGGACCTGTGAAATGTAAGCATTTACTTCTCTTCCACAGGCCGTTTTCCACCTCCTTGTTTTGGCTCGCAACACAAACAGAAACCTTAAGCCCTGTTACCTCCCCACGCAGTGTAGCGCAATCTTCTCCACAAGGCTGACAACTCCAA